AACATCATTATTAAGATTTAGAACGATATTTTGAATTTCGAGTAGTTGGTTTTTAAACATTCCAAAATTTTTGTACTGCATTTTAATAATTCCATCTTCTTCATTATTAGAGTAATAATCCATAACTTTGCTTGATCTGTAGGTCACAAAAATATGCAATACATAATATATAGATGAAACAACTCATTAGTAATAGTAATAGATTAACAGTTTATTTTATAATTTTAAGTTAATAACTTACTCCATTTCTATGCTTAGTTTCATTTTAAGTCTTTCAAAAATATTAACTAAACTGTATACAGTGAAAGGTTTTCCAAAATCTTCACAAAATTTTTGTATAAATAAGGCCCCACTCTTAAACAGATATGATTCCCTATCTGCAATATTAAAAAATTTAAAAATTAGTAAAAATATTTTTAGTGGTATATGTTATAGTATAATTAGTTTTAGTTACCTTTAGCAGCACTGTACATTATTGTTAGATTTTCTGGTAATCGTAGAGGAGGGACTTGAACTAATTCAGATTCCATATTTCCAGTGCGGCAAGCATTGATTATAATCAATTTTTGTATGGGTTTTAATGTTTCATTTCGCAATAATGGACTTAAAACTGTGTCATTGATATTGTAACAACCATCTTTTGTATGTATAATATCACCCTTTGTACCATGTGACATTATTATAATATATAATTGTTTAAAACCAGTGAAGTCAATGCTACAAACTTTGATATAATTAAAAAAATTGAAGTTATTTATTTTAGGCAATGATTTTAAATAAATTTAATATTTTTATTTATTATAATTTTATATATATTATATATTTGAATATTGATTGAAAAAAATTGATAATAACTTGCTTGAATTAGTTTTTTTTCAGAATTTTTTTCTTTAAGTTGAAGTTTAAGGTAAACAAAATATTATCTATTATCTATCTGTCTATATCTATATCCAAGTTCTTTAATAATGAAAAATCGGCCATTTTTAGCCATAAACACAATAGAGGGATCGGATGTTAATATATTCTAGATATTATTTTATAAACACAAACTCGTTGGGAAGTTAGGTTGGATGTAGTTTTACTAAAAGCTTATTGCACTATAGGTAATCAAGGAATAAAAGAATAGAGAAATTTTAATTAAATATGTAGTAGTTGTAAGAAATATGAATGTAAGAATCGGAAATTTTTAGCCATAAGCACAAAGAGGGATCTGATATTAATATAATTTAGATCAGGGCTGTTCAAAGCACGGCCCATGGGTGTCTTGCATGTTTCTAGTCTACCACAATCAGGCAAACTTTTCTGTTTCATTTTGGTAACATCACATTATTTTATTTTTATAGTGTTCCAAATAAATGAATTACAACATTTTAAATAACTTATTACACTTCATGTTAATTAACTTGATTTACATAGACTTTAGTATATATTTTTCGGGAAGCTAATTAAGCTAATAAAGAGAGAAAAGAATAGAGAGATTTTAGTAACTGCGACATTTTAGTAATATGTCGCAGTTAGCAGAAAGATGAAGAACTGAACTCCACAAGGTAATATTGTGTATATCTTTTCCAATAATATAATCAGATTTGCTGTTCAGATAATATATCGCTCTATAATATATAATAATATATAATATATCGCTCTAAGTTTATATAATTAAAAAATAAATAAATTAAATATATAAAACTATAAAAAATATTTATTTTCCTTTTCCATATTTACCTGTTTCCATGAGTTTTGTTACTTGATATGCACTACCATCTTTCACTGTTATATACGGAATCCTTTTATTCGTAAATGTCCTTTGCAAGCTAAGAATATCGTACTTGCTAGCATATCTAGCTTGGAATGTGGCTAATTTTTCAAAAGTTTGATGATTTAATATAATTGCCAATGCTGGATTTATATTGTATATATAACAGCCTTCATTCGTTGTAGAGTAATAATATCCAATACTCCCCTTGCAACTAAATGAAGCATGTTGGTATATATATTATTTAATATATTTGTTTAAATTTTTTCATTATTATTCTTACTTGTTATTTTGTTTAAAAATATGACAGTCGACAGAAATGTACTGACTTATCTCTTGTATACTGGCGTTACCAGCATTTTTTAATAGTTTATCAAAAAATGTTAAAGGACACATAAGAAATGAGTTTTTCTTACTGGTATCAGCTGAAAACAGAAAAACTTCAACGTATACTTATATGTAAGTTTAATAACAACATATTTATTATAATAATTTAAAAATATTATTTTATATTATATTATTTTATTTTTTAAAAATAATGTAAGTATATATTTCACAGAGCGCCTGAAAACGCGCTACAAAAGAGGTATCATAGCTCTGCCGCATTTACGGCCTTGAGAAGCATTCAATCACAGTTTTCAGAAGAAGAGAAGGAACTCGATCATTGATTGGTAAATTAAATTGGCAATAGTTGACTTCTGCTGGGAGGGCGTAGGTTAGAAAGAGTGGATTTATACACTTTTATGCCTATCAAGGCATAAGATATTTAACTTTTTTAATAGATGGCTGGAGATTTTGTTTATCCAGCGTACACAGCATCAGATAATTAACCTGCATGTGCTTTGTGATGACAGATTCAATTAGTATGATGTCGTAGGTAGTTGTTGACAAGGGATCTACAACATATATATAGGTAGGAAGTAAATATGTGATGAATTCATTAATAGTTTTTATATAATTTGTTTTTTTGCCGCATAAATACTGAATTTATCCTCGACCTCAAAATTATTTTTCGAAAAAGAGTTTTAGTTAAGTGAATATTTTGGCTTCAATAATTATTTACCTATTTGTTTATATTGCACAAATATCAAATTGTCCAACAGTTTTGGTATTCTTCTATTATTACTTCGTTGTCTATTTAATTTTTCTAATTTTCCGTAAAAGAAGGAAGCACTGTTTATATTATCATCCATAAAACAGGTATCCACTTCATCATTTATATATAAAACATGAGTACTCGAAATTCTGTAATACAATAATATAAAATCAAGTAAATCGAATAAGAATCTGTTTTATTATTAATGATAAATATTTGAATACTTACTTCCATTTACAGTAAGACATCGTTAACACTACTTTTGTAACGCATCTGAGAGTATCATTATTATAAATTGCATTGAATAATTTTTTTAAAAGTTTGTTAAAGTCACAAAAGCAGTCAAATGTAAAAATAAAAAACAAACTCGCAAAGCCTTTATAATTTTTATTAATCACTAATTATATAAAACAGAAATAAGAATAAAATAAATAATATAAAAAAAAAATAAAAATTAAAAATATGTAGGTATTAAAACTACTAGCGCCATCTTTTGTTGATCTTAGTATATGTAAGTTCATATAGATACATTTATGATATCAATGATATTAAGGGTTAACAATTTTTATTTAAATTTTTTACTGGCAGTTCTTTAATTCCGTTTAATATTTTTTATATTATGGTACTAATTTGGCAGCACTGTCATTCAAGTTATTATTTGTTTAGTTTAATGTTTGCCAACTTACAATATGAATCGTTTAACAATCACTGAACGTGTTAAAAATTTTTAGAATCGAATATTTTTCAGTGGTCAGGTTTATTTTTGCTTGATGGACACATCAGCAAACAAAATGATCAAACCTGGGAAAATGCAAACCTAAAAATAAATGTCGAAAAGAGTTGCCATATACAAAAAATCACTGTATGGTGTAGTATATGGACTGGATATAAGGTCTGAAGGTCTGACACAAACCATTAATTATAATCGCTACAGCCACAGCGAAATCATTGACAATGTGAAAGGTATATGGATTCAATGGAATCGTGTTTTGGTGATGGTAATTGACTTTCCATTAGACTTTTTTATTTGATCAATTTTTAAACCCTCAATTATGTACCAACAAGTAATTGAAAGTGACTTCAAATGGAGCCAATACTGTAATATGTTCTGCGAAAGACATTTGAATGATGTTATATGTCAGATCTAATTGCAAGGGTAAAATCTATTGAACATTTGATTGAAAACTTCTTTTACTTATATTTACTTTAAGAACCAAAAATTGATAACACTGCATAATTGCAAGTTAACTTTAAAAACTCGTAAGTATATATCATATATCTATATAATTTTATTATATTTATTTTTAATTTTTATGTTTACAATAAAATACTTTCCTTCATGTAACGTAAAATCAAATTCTGTATTTGGTTTGCCTTCAGGTATGTGTCGTCCAATTATAAAGAATAATTCTTCTAATGGATATGAGGTAGATTTATTAAGATATGAATGCAATTTACAGTCAATGAAATAAGACTTTGTTCTAAGATTTATTTTTGAAAACTCCATTTCGTTTGAATTAAAAGCGGATCCAATTATAACTAAGGCAGACTGTATTTTAAATTTAAACAATACACATTCGTTTGCAAAATTTAATCTTTTTCCTTATCTTCGAAATAATGTTTTACCGAAGCTCAGCACGAGTATTTATAGGTATATTTTATCACACAATTAACTTGTACATAAATTGATATATAAATATCAATATAGACATGTTAAATAAAAAAAAAAATAAATAGAATACATAACGCAATTAAAAATTATTCTTCGGGCTACAACGAAAACTAATACACAGGGGTACTTAAGATCTGGTAAAACACGCTGTTTAATAGAGTTGATAGAATAAGTATCTGTTTTATGGCAAATACTATATATTTTAATACTTACTTCCATTAACAGTGAGACATCGTTAACACTACTTTTGTAACACATCTGAGATTATCATTATTATAAATGAAAAGTGTAAGTAATTAATCGTGTGGCATTGATTTATAGATTAAAACTGCTATAATGGATCAGCTGATCAGCTGTGAGTTAAGCTCATACTTTTTATATATATAAGATATAAATTGATAGATAAAGAATAATAACTTTGCTCTTTATGCTAAAAAAGATATGGGCACTTCTCATTATGTCATGAGTTTGTTCAATTTATCCATTTCGGTAATTTTTTCTTATAAATATACTAAAAAATATCTGTATCTCGCAAAAACAAAAACTTTTCTTTTCATAGAAGTGATGTGAATAAAGTGTCGGTACATTTTAACGAATGAAAACCATGTTTCTTACTTCTTATATTTAAAAAACTTGTGATATGCAACCGATCGAAGCAGATCACTTCGTTATACAAAACACATAAATTGTTAAGATAACTTTGGAAAAACTTTTATGAAAAATGAAAGAAAACTATATTGGAAGGAACTACCAAGACTATCACAATCTAAAATGCTTTTATGGACTTACATCCTAAAACGCTTCAAGGATTGCATAGAACTAACAAAGAATAACCTAAGAATTACTATCAAAGTACTAACCGGTCACTGCAGATTAAATAATCACCTAACAAAGTTAGGAATCCAATTCAACTTGGACTACAGAAACTGCAGAGCAAACAGAAAAACCGCATACCATGTGGCACTGATGTATAAGCGGAAGAAGAAACATCAAGGAGAGTTTTTGATGGAACGTAGGGATTTAAGGTTAGGTAAGATAGGCCCTATTTTGTCTTTTATTAAAGAAATCAGACTTGGAGAAAAATTCTAATGCAACTAAGGGTTACAGCAGATCTATTAGTTCGCAGTGTACTATCCCTTTTGCGAACAGACGAGATATCTAAATCATAATTTACAAT